TCACAATGGATTTAATGCTCTGCTGGTTCAACTTCAAATTCTTGATACTTTTCAAATAAGGGCCTCAGCCTGGGATTTAGCTCAGTGGTTCTGCCACCTGCCTCACAAGAGCAAGGACCCGAGTTCAATCCCTGGTACCAAAAAACAAACAAAAAACAATCAAATAAGGGCCTCATACTTTCAGTTTTTACACTCCATAAATTATGTAGCTGGGCTTGATCTCCATCTTGGAGAAGACTGAGGAATCAGTTAAGTAGCACTGCTAAGAAGTGACCACGTGGAGAGTGGACCCAAGCAGTGTGCTCCTGGCGCCCACCCCTCACTTCTTCACCACACTGCAGAAAGCAAGCCCTGCTCCGGGCCCCCAACTCCCCTGTCCTGGGCTCGAGCTGTCAGTTACTCCTCGAGGGGCGCTGTGGCTTGCGTGCGGCATGGAAGCCTCTGAGCCTTAATGCCTGGATGTTGTGGCAGTGGCAGTGCTGGGGCTTTATCTTCCAGGATCGAACGGATTTTACTGTGGCCCTCCTAAGGGGCATCGTGAGTCCAATAAAGGGTCAGGGAGAAAACGTGAACCTTGGAGAGTAAGTTATTAGTGTGAGGCCCTGGCTGGGCCTTAGTTCACAGGTAATTAAACTTGTTCCCCTGGAATTGTTCAGAGTGAATAAGATGATACACAGGAAAAGTAAGGGCACTGCTTGACGTTTAGCAGTGCACCTAGCCTCTTTTCGTTGCTTTCAAGTTATTCAATACATACTGTGCACCAAGCGCATACCCTGGAGGTACGATATTGAGCAAATCAGCCAGGTCCTTGAATTTGGAAAGACAGAAGCATGTGTTTTGAGACAAGAAAAAAATATGTCCACAGAGATAAGACAAGACACAGCAGTCAGTGAGTGAGTGCTCCTGTAACATGGATTCTTGTGAACTAAAAGGTGTTGCCATGTCTGGCTGGCCTACAGATATCAGATCATATTTTTTCCCCAGGAGACTTTAGAAGTTATATTTGTTAAATGTCTCAATTTTAGCAATTAATTTTTGGGGGATACCGGCGATCGAATTCAGGACCTTGTGCTTGCCAGGCAGGGCGGCAGCACCACTGAGCTAAATCCCCATCCCGAACAATTAAAATATTTTAAAATACTTAACGAGTCAAACAGAAATTCATGGGCTGAATCCTGCCCTTGACTAGTTGTTTGCACCTTCAGTGTAGAAAGAGAGGATAAATCTTAATCAAAGAACAATAAAAATCGTGAAATTGTGTCCATGGAGAGGAGAGCCCAGTGCTTTCAGAGCCCTTGAAGGCATTTGTCCTAATCAGGAAAGGGCTCCCAGATGAAATGGCTGTTCTGAGATCTGGAGGGTGAGCGTGTCACATAAATAAAGAGGAATTTGAGGGATGTTCCACCGTGGAAGGAAGTGCACATGAAAAGGCCACTAATGAGAAGGAGCACGGTGCCTGGAGAAGACGGTAAAACCAGGCCAGGGGAACCAGGCCAGGGGCGGCTGTGGCTGAATAGTGAGCAGAGTATTTTAAGAGATAAGCTTGGAAAAAAAAAAGGAGAGAGAGAGAAGCTTGGAGAAGTCAACATGGGTGGGAGCCCGACCTTGCAGACTCAACTAAAGTTTTGTTTTTATCTCAAGATCTGTGGGAGCCTACCGAAGAATGTTCAGTAGGGAAGCGATGTAAGGCTTGTGTTGAAACTGACTGACATGCTGCGGACAGACTGCAGGTCTGTCTAATGAGATGCAGGAGTGCAGTTAGAAGGCTGTACAGGCCCCAGACGAGGGTGAGGAAAGCAGAGATGGAAGAAGAATATTATATTGATACTACCTGTTGTCAGTGACAGTGTCAAAGCAACGACATGGCTTATATTTATTTTTCTTTAATGCTTGAAAAAATGTCTGAAATAGTAGACATTTAATAAATATTTGTTCAATTAAACTATTGAACTTCAGTAACAGGTTGTCGGACTAGGGATTTAGCTCAGTAGCACTGAGCCTGCCTGGCAAGCACAACAACAAACAACAAAAAAAGAACAACAGTCTGGTAACGTGGAGAGGATCATGAAGGCACAAGCATACCAGACGGGCAAGGACATCTCCACAGACTACTACGCCAGCCAGAAGAAAACATTCGAGATTAACCCCCAGCACCCCCTGATCAGAGACATGCTCCGGCACGTTAAGGAAGACGAAGATGAAAAGACTGTTATGGATCTGGCTGTGGTTCTGTTTGAAACGGCGACTCTTCGGTCAGTATATCTACTGCCTGACACTAAAGCCTACAGAGACAGAATAGAAAGAATGCTTCGCCTCAGTCTAAACATCGACCCGGAAGCAAAGGTCAAAGAAAAGCCAGAGGAAGAGCCTGAGGACACAGCAGAAGACACGGAGCAGGAGCAGGACACAGAGCAAGGTGAAGAGGAAAAAGTGGACCCGGGCATGGAAGCCGGAGATGAAGAGGAGGAGACGGTGAAGAAATCTACAGCTCAAAAAGACAAATTGGAAATTGCACTTTGGCATTAGCTCCTTCGTGGAGAAGGAATGTGAAGTCATTTCTTTTGAGAGAGACTTGTTTGGATGCCCCCACCCCCTGCTCCCCTGCACTGTAAAATGTTGGGATTGTGGGTCCCAGAAGAAGTGGGTTTTTTAGTTGAATTTTTTTAACATTCCTCATGAATGTAAATTTGAACTATTTAACTGAATATTAAAAAAAAATTAAAAAAGAACAACAAAAATTTCTATTTTAACCTAGATTCTTAAGCATGTAAAATTTCAAAGATTGAAACTTTATATGTGCATATAAATGTTCAAAAGGTTAGGTCATACTAAGCTATTTTTCTCCATCTGCTGTGGGAGTTTCTTTTCTGTTCTTAGTGTTTTCTTCAGTAAGAGAAGCCATATGTGGATATATGATAAATATTTTACTTATGCATACTGGAAAATGAAACTAGGTGTCTTGAGGAGCAAAGGACCTCCTTATATTCTTGAATTAAAGTTGTTAACTGTGTTCACATGTGTTTTCCTAGGGGCAGGAAATTCAGAGGATGTCCAGGATTTTTGTGCAGAAAGACAATCTTTACTATACTAGGTCATTTTCTACTTGTACAGCATGATTATTAATATAAAGTAGCTTTTCTGTCTCATTTACTTTTCATATCTTTTAATAAACTTTTCTTATCTGTGTGTAAGATCTTTAATTGTATTTAACCAACATTTCTGAAGTCCTAACCTGTGCAGGCCTCCATGATGGCAAAAAAGCTTTCTTTCAAATGTAAATTTAATATATCAAGGACAAAAGTAAAATGTTCTCTTCATTTTTGTAAAAATTGTCTCCACTAGATCAATAAATCAGAGAAGCCAGAAAGCTGCGATAATGTGAAGGTGGTTGTTAGGTGCCGACCCCTCAATGAGAGAGAGAAGTCATTGTGCTACAGGCAGGCTGTCAGCGTGGACGAGATGCGGGGAACCATTACTGTGCACAAGACTGATTCTTCCAATGAGCCTCCGAAGACGTTCACTTTTGACACTGTTTTTGGACCAGAGAGTAAACAACTCGACGTTTATAACTTAACTGCAAGACCTATAATTGACTCTGTTTTAGAAGGCTACAATGGTAAGTAAATACAAAGTTTACTTTTTTAACCCTGTTGAGGCCTACTATCTCATAAATTCACCCATACAACTCAGTTTGATGAGTTATAGTAAATTTATACAGTGCGAAATCATTACCACAACCCAGTTCTAGAACACTTCTACCTGTCCCAAAAACTTTTTATGCTGAATTCCATTCCCACCCCCCACCTCCACTGATCTGCTTCTGTCATGATTTTTTTTTTTTTTTTTTTTTTTTGTACCAGGGATTGAACTCAGGACCTTGTGCTTGCAAAGCAGGTGGCGGAACCACTGAGCTAAATCCCCGGGCCCAATGATTTTGTTTATTCTTGAAATTTTATGTAAATGACAGCATATATAGTATAGCATCTTTTTATCTGTTTTCTGTCACTTGGCATGTTCTGGAAATTCTCCCCTTTGCATATATCAGTAATTTGTGGTCCCCCCCCCCCTTTGTATCAGGGATTGAACTCAGGACCTTGTGCTTGTAAGGCAGGCAAGATGCCACTGAGCTAAATCCCCAGCCCTATGTTGTGGCTTTTTGTTGCTGAATTTCATTCCACTGTATCAAATAACACATTTTGTTTATCCATTCACCAGTTGATGGAAAGTCTGGATTGTTTCCAGATTTTAAAAGATGGCTTATGAATTTTGAAACTGCCAGAATGTTTTCCAAAGTGGTGACTATGCTATTCCCCTTCCCACCAGTATGATAGGAGAGTCCTAGTTTCTTTACAGTTTGGCAACAACTGGATCACCAGTCTTTTTAATTATTGCATTCTGTAATGGATCTGTAATGATAAAGTCTCATCATGTTTTAACTTAAGTTTCTGTGGTAACTATATGATGTTGCATATCTTTTCACCTACTTAGCCATTTATGTCTTCATTGGTGAAATGTCACGTAAAGTATTTTGCCCATTTTAAAATTTGGTTGGCCAGCTTCTTATTTTTCATATATTCTGAATTGAAATTTATAATTAAGTATTTTCTCTCAGTTTGTGACTTGTCTTAATTTTCTAAGTGGTGCTTTTAAAGGAAAAAAATCCAGTGTTTTTTGTGTGTGTGTGTGTGTGTGTGTGTGTGTGTGTGTGTGCGTGCGTGTGTGGTACCAGGGATCAAACTCAGGACCTTGCACTTGCGAGGCAGGCACAGTGTCTGGTCCAAAAGTCTGAATTTGGATTAAATCTATTTTATAATTTATTTTTAAAAATTTATAATCTTTGGGCCAGGGATTTAGCTCAGTGGTTCCGCCACCTGCCTTGCGAGCACAAGGACCTGAGTTCGATCCCTGGTACCAAAAAAAAAAAAAATTTATAATCTTTTTCTTTCATAAGTCATGCTTTTGGTTATATAGTTGAGAAATTCTTACCAAACCAGAGGCCAAAAAGATTTTCTATGTTCTCATCTAGAAATTGTAATTTTTAAAAAACTTTTTTATTTCTACAGACTGGGTTTTACTTCATAGTTCAGGCTGTCTTTGAACTCACCATTTATTCCAGGCTAGCCTCAAAGTTGCCGTGATTCTCCTGCCTCAGCTTCCCAAGTGCTGGGATTACAGGTGTACATCACCATCATCAATGTAGAAATCACATAATTTTATTTATTTATTTATTAGAAATTACATAATTTTAATTGCTATTTTTAGGCCTGTGATTTATCTTGGGTTAATTTTTATATACTGTATAGGTGAGAGTCTAAGTTTTTCGTTCTTTCCTTTATTTTTCTTCTTGCCTATCAATACCCGTTTGTTCCAGCACCATTTATTTAGAAAACTATTCACTCCCTATTGAATCGGCACTTTTGTCGTGGATCAGTTGACCATAAATTTGTGGGCTTATTTCTGCACTGCCTAGTCTATTTCTTTTTTTGTTTAATTCAGTTTAGTGGTACTTTTTAGGTGTACAGTACAGTTAAATTCATCACTGGGATCTTGTACCTTTACATGACAGATCTTGGTCTCTCTAAACCCGAAGTTTTTAACTTTTTTCTTGGTACCAGGGATCAAACTCAGGACCTTGCACTTGTGAGGCAGGAATGGTGCCATTGAGCTAAATCCTGGACCCCTCTTTTTTTTTTTTTTTTTTTTTTTAAGGGTGGTCTCAGTAGGTAGTTGAGGCTGTTTTTGAACTCACTGGGTAATGCAGGCTGGCCTCAAACTCAGAGCCACCTGAGGGCTAGGGCTAAAGGTAAACTCTGGAATAGAAACATAGGAGTGGAATAGAGTCCATGGTAACTTTGACTTGTTGAGGAGTGGGCAGATTGTTTCCCATAGTGTCTGCACCATTTTACATTTGCATCAGCAATGCTCAGGTTTCCAGTTTCTTTACATCCTTGACAAAGCTTGTTACTATCTTTCTGATGCAGCCATTCTAGTGGGCATTCAGTGGTATCTCATTTTGGTTTGCATTCGATTTTTGTAAATTGACCTTATGTCTTAACAATTGTGCTAAACTTGCTTATTAGTTCTAGAAGGTTTTTTTGGTGTGGTTTGCTTAAAAAAATGTATATTCCGTAGGATTTTCTACATGCAGGATTGTGCTGTTTACAGATAGTGTTTAAATTCTTTCTTTTCATTCTTCATGCCCTTTAGTTTCTTTTTGTTGCCTGATTACTAGCTAGAATGTCGTTGCACAGAAGTGGTGGAAATGGACATTTTTATCTTGTTCTGGATGTCAGGGAAACTATTAATTCTTTACTAGTAAGTGTTTCATTATCTGTAGATTTTTTAATAAAGATTCTTTGTCAAACTGAAGAAGTTTCCTTCAAAAAATGCAGTTTTTTTCTGCAACTATTGAAATCATCTTTTTGAGTTTGTTAATGTAGTTAATTACATGGATTGATTTTTCAATGTGAAATCAGCTTGGCTCTTTAGTCATGAAGTATTATCCTTGTCAAATGTTAGATTTAATTTACCAAAATTTTGTTTACATTTTTTGTTTCTGTGTTCGTGAGAGATACAAGAGTATATGTTTTCTTGTAACAGCTTTATCCAGTTTTGATATCAGAATAATGTTAATTTTGTATAATGAGTTGGGAACTATTTCCTTTTTGATTTTGTAGAATAATTTTATTTAGAATTAGCATTATTTCTTTAAATATTGATAAAATTTATCAGTAAAGCTACTTGGGTTTGGAGTTTCCTTTCTAGGAAGATTTGTAAGTTTTACTACAGATTTAATTTCTTTAATAGCCAGCTATTCCAGTTATCCATTGTTTTTCTTGAATGAGTTTTGGTAGTTTACTTTCATAGAATTTCTCAGTTTCATTGAAGCAAGAAGTTATTGACAAAAAAGTGTTTATACTGTTTGTTATTCTTAGAATGTAGTAGGAAAACCTTTCTTATTCCTGATATTGATAATTTATGTCTTTTTTTTCTCCTGACTGAACAGATGTTTATCAGTTTTACTGATCTTCTGGAAGAACCAGCATTTGCTTTTAATATTCATATATTTTTGTGTTTTCTATTTCATTGACTCTTCTCTGGTCTCTATTGTTTCTTTTTGTCTCACTCATTTAATTTGCTCACTTTGCCCCCCATACTGGGGGTTGAACTCAAGTCCTTGCTCTCGCCAGGCAGGTGTGGTACCATTCAGCTAAATCCCCAGCTCCTAATTTGCTCCTCTTTTTCACTTACTTAATGTGGAATACAAGTTGAAATCATTATTTTGAGACCTTTCTTCTTTTCTAGTGGAGGAGTTTAATTATATAAATTATCCACCAAGTACTGTTTTAGGGGAACCCATCTATTTTTATTTTATTTTAGGTACTGGGAATTGAATTCAGGGCCTTGCACTTGTGAGGCAGGCGGTGGCGCCACTGAGCTAAATCCCTGGCCCCGTCGGATTTTTTTTTTTTTTTTTTTTTTTTTTTTTTTTTT